TGATTTCCAAGCTCTTCAGTTGCTGCACACCCTGGGAGGAAAGTGCACTCTCAGCCAGAATATTCCTTTGCTGTCAAGAGCTCTGCTTTCATGCAGCTGACTGATAACAGTTCCACTGCACAACTCTGCTCAGAAGCTGCACAGATCCATAAAGGTTGTGGCTTGCACAACTGCTCAAGCATGTGCACCACAGAACTGTAGATTTGTAATTAGTTGCAGTCCCCATTTTATGCATCAAGAGTTCTATTAGTTTTAAGCTTAAAACTGGAAGTTTGCTCACAATTGCTCAGATGGGGACTTAACAGATCACTTGGTAACAAAAGCTTTCCTGTTTGGCACAGATATCCCCCACTGTACTGATTATGAAGTGGATCAGTTCCCCCTCCGGATGCGAGACTGGCTCAAAAACATCCTTATGCAATACTATGAACATGATATGCAATATTATGAACATGATCTGGATACTTCTGGATTTCTAACCAAAAAGCAAAGGACTAAGGCCAGTAATCCTTTTCAAATAAGACCATGCAGTTATGTTGCTAGAGCCGGACTAACCATGTGAAAAAAAGCAATTCACATCTCACGAGTTCTCCCATTTTTTATGAGCATTCTCTTCCTGGTTAAGGCAATTTAGACTGAATTAGATTTACAAGTTGCAAAGTACACTTACATGTCCCCTCACACTTATTTAAGTTGAAACACATTTCTGCTATGAATGTTCCTTTTGTCCAAGCAAATGCAAGCCAAGTGTATTGCTTTGAAGTCAGTGTCCACAGACAAGAGGCAGAAAAGTCAGAATTAATGCACACCTAGAGAGGCATCTTTCACTCAAGACACAAAACAGTGACTCTTCAGTGCTTTGTGACAAACCTCTTGGAAAGATCAACTAACACATATATCAGGATGACCCAATTCATGCAGTCAATGCCATTTTCCAAAGGACTTGAGGAAACTAAGCAGACATAAGATGGCAGGTAAGATAGCTAATTAAAAGACAAAATAAGAGGGAACAGCCAGCCAAAAGCTCACCTGGGGAGCCCCACAAGTTGAAAGGACTTGTGCCATTCAGCTTTCATTAAGTGACCTGGAAGAGAAAGGTAGGGGGCAAAGTCTGATAGCCTCCTACAATAGCATGACCAGCTGGGTAGATGAAGGGAGAA